CTGAGAGGCGAGTAGTGGAAGGATGATGGCAAAACTGAGAGCCAGATCCTGGCTGACCCTTGGAAAACCTTTCCTTAGGAATGTGCACTCTTTGGGGGTCATGGCAGCTCACCATGTTTTTCACATTTACTTTCATTTTTTGTAGAGTTCAGTTTAATTTAACTCTACAGTAGAGACCACAATACACACATTCTGCTTATCACACTACCCATGAACATGCTACATTCATGTAGCATCATACTGTTCTAAGATAATGAATTATGTAGTAAGTAGATTTTAAAAATCAGCCCAAAATTTATGTCCCACAACCTACCTTCTTATATTCATGCTCAGCTTTTCTGACCAGAAATTCATAGACAGCTCATGTATTAACATGTAGTACATATATATTTAATTTCTCCCACAGTAAGAATCCTAGCTCCCAAGAAAATGGATGTGAGAGTCAGAATATTCTCATGAGTGTCTATTTTTATTATTCCACAATAGTCATACAAATATCCTATAATAACTCTAATACCACCACTACCAACTCATTACTGAGAGGAATTAAAACAAATTTCATACTATCTTCCCATCTCCTCCTTTTTAAATAGTTTTACTATATATACATTATCTGAGTGCAATACCATCTTTCTTTCAACTTTCATTTAATCTTAGTTCTACAATTAAGGTTATGTTTAACACTTACCTCCTGTTCCTATGATGATGTCTCTGTAGTTAGTAATCTGAAGCTTATAATCTTGCTCTAGAGTAGATTACTCAGGGAAAGTTCATGGGACTAAAACTTAGATTTTGCTTGTTGAAAACATTTTGTCTACAATCTTTATCTCAAAGGCCAAGTTTGCTGGATATAATTCAGGGTGCACATTTTATTTTTCTTTAGTATTTTCAATATGTTGTTCCAGTTACATTTAGTATAAAAGCTTTGCTGCCGCAAAATCTGATAACAATGTTTTTTTTCCTTATAAAACACTTACTGTTTTCTTCCTAGACATCCAAAATATTTTTTTTTTCTTACTCTATAAGCTCCAGTGATTTAACTAGAACATTTCTTGGTACTGATTGTACTGGGTCAATATTCTTAGAAATGCAGTACTCTCTTTTAATATGTAGTTATTTTTTTTTAATTTTAGGAAAATTTTATTGAATTACACTCTCCAGTATTTGCTCCCTTGCTTTAGTTTTTTTTCATCAAGAATTCCTAGTATCTATATATTAAATCATCTTTGGCTTGCTTCAATGTTTATACTTTTTCTCTAATCCTTTTTATTCTCTCATTTTATGTATTTTTCTATTGAAGTATAATTATGTATAATAATATGTGTTAATATTAATAATAGTCTGAAACATTCTACAAATGTGTAATACACCCAAGAAACCAACATACAACCAAAACCTAGAGCATTGCCCTTGCTCTAGAAAGTTTCCTAGTGTCCCTTTCTAATCTATCCTACTCTCCAATTAGAGACAACCACTATTCTGATTTCTAGCCCCATATATTAATTTTGCCTGTTCTTGAACTTAATAAAAATGGAATCATAGGGTAGATATTATTTTATGTCTCTATTCTCTCACACAACGTGAGATTAATCCATGTTCTGGCAGGTAATAGGAACTTATTCCTTTTAATTACTGAGTAATGTTCCCTTGCATGAATATACAATGTTTATTCTTCTGGTGATGAACGTATGGGTGTTTCCAACTCTCACTATGAGAAATAAGGTACAATCAACATAAATATACAAGATTTCATGAACATATATTTTCATTTAGTGTGGTTATATGCTTAGGAATGAAATTGCTGAATGATAAGGCAGGTGTATGTTTAACTTATAAGAAATTGCCAAACAAATTTATACAATGCTTTTGCCATTTTGCCTCCACCAAGAATGTATGTAATTCATTTGGTGTTAATAGCCTTTTACATCTTAGCCACTCTAATGAGTGTGCAGAGAGGTATTTAATTATAGTTTCTATTTGCATTTTCCTGATGACTAACAATCTTGAGAGTTTTTTTATGTGTTTATTGGCCATCTTTATGCCATTTTTGTGAAATTTCTATCCAAATTCTTGCCCTTTTTTTGATTGGGCCACTTGCCTTTTATTATTAATTGTATAATCTGGATTTGAGTTCTTTGTCAGATTTATGTATTGCAAATATTTTTTCTCAGTCTTTGGCTTTTCATTTCTTATTGGCATTTTTTGATGAGTAAAAGTATTTAATTTTGATGAAGTCCAATTGATATTTTTCCTTTTACAGTTAGTGCACAGTTCAGTGTTGAAACCTTGCCTATGCCCAGGTCATAGAGCTATTCGCCTATGTTTTTTCTAGAAAATTTATGGTTTTGACTTCTATATTTATTACTGTAATACATTATTACTGTAACACATTATTACTGTGTTACATTATTACTGTATTACATCTTGTAGTACATAAGCAACACATCTTAGTTTATGTGGCTGTAACAAAGCCATCCATAGATTGGGTGGCTTATATACCACAGAGGTTTAATTTTTACAGTTCTGCAGGATGGAAGTCTGAGAATAAGGTGCCAGCAAGGGCAGGTTCTGGTAAGGGCCCTCTTTCAGGATGCAGACTGCTGTATTCTTGTATCTTCAGGGGCAGAGACACCGGAAAGCTCCATGGGGTCTTTTTCATAAAGGTAGTAATCTCACTCATGAAGCCTCTACCCTCATGACCTAATTACCTCCCGAGTGCCTGACCTCTTAATATCATCACATTGGGAGTTAGGATTTCAATGCATATGTTTGAGGAGGTGCAAACATTCAGTTCTTAATAGAGTGGATCGAGGTTATTGCTTGTTTTTGTTTTTTCTAAATAGACATCGAGTTCACCCAGATCAATTTTTGAAAATATTGCCTTCCCTCATTGAATGATTGGTACTTTTGTCAATATTCAGCTGAACACATGTTTAGTCCTGATTATGTACCCTCTATTCTGTTCTATCCATGTATTCATCTGTCTTTCTGCAAATACCACACTCACTTGATTACTGGAACTGTAGACTGATTTTGTAAGTAATTAATGTAAGTAATTAATGTGAGTAATCAGGTAATGACTTATTTTCTTAATGTAAATCAACTTTGTTCTTATTTTCCATGATTGTTTTGGTCATTCTAGGTCTAGGACATCATTTTTATTACTAAAAAGTTCAGCATTATGTTTGATGCTATCTGTAGTTTTGGCATAGATGCCCATTAATAGGGTGAATATTTTATATTCTTAAATAAATTAGTAGTTTTATCATTTTCCAAGCAAAGCAAGGATCATGAAACACTTAAATTTATCTTGCATCACTGTTGTGCTTTTTTCTCAGGCATTTTATTTCTACACATATTTTATATCCTTTCTTATATTATTATTAATATGATTGCTTTGCATAATCAATATTTATGTATCCCCACATATTTCTTCTTTATGTTATAATCCAGTTACAGACTGAGCTGATTTGATGTGGACTGTGGTTTTGTCAAACTTGTTCTGCTTCACCTGGTGCATCCTGTTCAGAGCTATCCAGGGGTCCTGGCTGAGATTCTGTTCTGATTGTGTACTTGAACTTCTCATTCTTTGAAAGTCTTTGAAGAGTTTCTTAAGTTTGCTGAGAAATTGATCACAAATAGGCATTGAATTTTGTCAAATTCTTCCTCTGTATCAGTTGAAATGATTATATTTTTCTATTACTGGGTAAATATGTTGAATTATCATCAAATGTTAATCAAACCCTGAATTGCTAATATAAGCCCTCTATTGTCCTTTCTATTGACTGCTAGAAACAGAGTCTACTTTGTCTGATATTAGCATAACTAACGACTTTTATTTTTGTTTGGTACTTGCATAATATACCACTTTCCATGCTTTGATTTTTAGCATTCCAACCTTTTAGTTTCACCTTTGTGTTTAGATGTTTAAGGACTGTGTCTTATAATCAAACTTATGAGTCTGATTCTGCTTTTCTATCTGAATGTTTATCTTTAAATTAGAATATCTAGTTTATTTACATGTGATATAATTGCTGACATAATTGTATTTATATCTACCACTTAACTATTTTCCTTTTGTCTTACTGGATTTATGTTCCATTTTATCTTTTCTCCCTTCTTTTGATTAGCCTTATATTAATCAAAATAATAATTACTAGTATTTTAATATTCGACTTTCTCCTGTATTAATGTGTTAGCTCTACTTTCTTTTATTTTTCATGGTTACCATAGAAATTACAAAAAAAATTCTTTAATCTCGTACAGTCTTAAATAAATTATTACTGTCATCACTTTCCATGCAAGGCAAGGATCATGAAACACTTAAATTTATCTTGCATCACCGTTGTACTTTTTGTCTTTTGCGTTTTATTTTCACACATATTTTACATCCTATCTTATATATTGCTGTTAATATGATTGCTTTGCATAATCAATATTTATGCATCCCCAGGTGTTTCTCCTTTATGTTATAATCCCGTTAAAGACTGAGCTGATTTGATGTGAAACTTGATCTGCTTCACCTGGTGCATCCTGTTCTGAGGGTAGAGCTATTCAGGTTTCCTGGCTTAGATTCTGGGTTCCAATCGTGTACTTGAACCTCTCATCCTTTGAAAGTCTTTCACTCCAATTTTGATTCCTCAGCACCATGAGACTTCCAGAAACTTCACTCTGACTTTCAGCAGCTTTCTGCTTAGTTTTGTATCCTGTGCCTTGTGTAGCCTAAAATGTGATAATTTCTCTGGAGGGAAACCACCAAGTGTCAGTCACACTTTTCTTTACTTCCCTCTCTCTGGGATCTTGGTTCATCAAGTTCTAGCTGCCTTGGAACACTTGAATTCAAAATTTTGTGTCTACAGTCCCCTGTGAATGTATCAAAAGTTTTCCTTGCTTCTTTACCTCTTAGTTAAGAACCTCTGCCTGGATTCTCAGTCTGTTGTCCTGTATCAAGAATCATTAAAAATCCCAAGAGAAATATAGCTTGAAGATGATCTGCTTACCTCTCTGAAGTCCTGTTTCTTCCGATGTATGGATCCGTTGTATTCTGGTTGCCATGACAACTTCTCAATGTCTTCCAGTGGTTTCAAAAATATTGTATCTGGTTTTTCTTGTTGTCTTTAGTGGGAGAGTTAGTTTTCCCTGGGATACTACATATTAGCTGAAAGCAGAAGTCTTCTTATATCAGTCTGAATCCCTGCCTTTTATATTATATGTACCACTTAACGCTGTTGGAGAATGTTAGAAAACCAATGCCTTTCTCAACAGGCTGTGATGTAGCTATGATGTTCTTTAGGGCTATGGTGATTACACTAGTAATACTATGAGAGAAATTGTATGATAATTGCTTCTTCAGTTCTATTTCAGTTCCATGTGTGATGACATGAAAGTATTAATGCTTCTACTTATTACCTTCAAAATGCCTCTGTTTAAAGAGAAATAGCAGGGTAAAATAAACCTTAGTGGAAACATGTATCCAATATCGACATTAGTGCTATAGCCAAGAATTTTAGAATCCTCACAAAATTTTAGGTTTTACTGTTATAAGTCCTTTATGATTATCATTACATCTTCAGTTTTAAGCTTCTTACAAAGTAATTATTTCCTTTTTTCAAAACATCCTGAGGTGAAAATTTTAACTTTTGGCAAGTTGTTTTCATCATCCTTTTCTCTCTTCCTCTGTGATAAATCAGAGTAAGATAATAAAAAGTCTCACTTTGGCAGCCTGTCATCTAAAGTCTATCTGGGAGCACAGCAGGCTATTTTCTCTTTTGTGTAACTTGGTTTGCCTTTTTTTTCCTCCTAATTCTGAGCATCCGTTTCTCATTAGAAGAGATTCCTATATGTGAGACTGAACACTTAAAATGCACGTAAATTAAATAATGTATTTACAATATGAAAAATACTAACTGTACTCTACTGTAGAATTCTGAAATAAGGAATACTTCAGTAGCAATTGACTTAAAAAAATTAGTACAGTGTCAAATTCTATCATTTAAATTTGGCATGGCTCCTTAGTAGCTACTCAGATATTTTAACATATAGTTTTAGAATATTTACATTATATATTTTTAAGCAAAACAAAATATATGTGCAGTCCCATGTAGTATATGTAGTATCTTAGTTATTGGAGTAAAGCTAAAAAGAAAAGAAATCATACTCTGAATTATTAGGTCATGATAAATTTATTTTTGTAAGTTTTGCTTATTTTTATATTAATAATAAATATTTACAGTGCAAAATTTGGAATATATTGGGAAGCATAAGGAAGCTAAATAATTATTTATCATTATATCTAGAAAGAAAAATCCCTATTGATATTTTAATGTATATCCTCATTTTAATGCACACACATATACATACATGCAATACATACACATTATTTTTACTAAATTTTCTTAAAATTTAAATTTCCCTGTGGATGTTATAACATTCAATATTAAATATTAAAATTAAGACTTTGTAATAAAAATAATTGCTTTTGCTATACCTGCAATTACTAAAGTAATAGAGAAGCTCAAAACTATTTCTTGCTAATATTCATATTAAGAATATTTTTATATTCTGTTTTGATTTATTTAGTTATTCATTTACACTTATAATAAGTAGAATGGCCATGTCTTTGCATATCCAGGCAGTCCAAATTTATGCCTTTTAAAATCATATAATTATAAAGAACACTTCTTTCACTCTTAAATGTAATAGGCTTGCATGAGTAATTCTATGGTTTTCTTAATTATTTGAAAATATTGGGGTATATGAAAGCAGAATAGGGTGGCACATAAGGTAATTCTGACATGAATTATGTCAGTCTTTAGAGATTATGGCCTGTGGGAGATTAGAATTAGCATGAATAACATATAATAAGAAGTAAAAAGGATCACAGGAGAGGTACAGAGATTTTGCATGCATTGCAATATGAATTGTACAGGAACTCGATGGACATGTTGCAATTGTGAAGGAGACATATGCAAGATCCCAAAGGCTGAGGATACTTTGGGAACCTAAATGTTATCAAAGAAACGGAAGTAAGAAAAATATCAAGATACCATTTTACAACCCTCAGTCTTGCAAAAAATAAGAGATAAAGAATTCTGATGAGGCTTCTGTCTTGGGTAGAATGAAAGAGATTGTGGCAGAATAGATCCCAAGATGAAGAATTGTAAAAACAATAGGAAAGACAAAGATAATTCATTTACAGCATCAGGAAGCTACTGAAGTGATGAAGATTAATGAGACTAAAATTTCAGAGAGAGGAGAACTAAAAAGTGAGCTAATTATCTGCAACAGCGTTTCCATGAGGGCATTTGCCAATTCAGGGCACTATCTGGAGGCTGAAAGTATTTGTTTATTCTCAGACTGCTATAACGGACTACCTGAGACTGGGTAATTGATGAAGAAAGGAGGTTTAATTGACCCACAGTTCCACAGGTTTAACAGGAATCAGGACTGGGAGGCTTCAGGAAACTTACAATCTTAGCAGAAGGCAAAGGGAAAGCAAGCGTGTTTTACCAGGGCAGAGCAGGAGAGCAAGTGAGTGAAGGGGGAAGTGCCACACACTTCCAGACAAGCAGATCTTGTGAGGCCACACTGGCTATCACGAGAACAGCAAGGGGGAAGCCTGCTTCCATGATGCAGTCACCTACCACCAGGTGGTGACGGCAACATGTGGGGATTACAGTTCCGACATGGAATTTGGGTAGGGACACAGAACAAACCACATCCCTGAGTTTCCAGGCTTGGACCAGGCAGAGAATCAGTGGAAGGAGGAGAGAAAACAGGAAATCTTTCAATCACAAAGGACTGGGGTGAGGAAATGAAAGGCCACAGAAGCTTCACCATAGGTCCAGCTTCTCCCTCGACACATTTGCCAATGTCTGCAGTTGGGCAGGTCAGAAAGATTAAAAGCCAAAAACATCTGAAATACAGAATAGGTTTCCATGGAGTTCCCCAGTGCTAAGAGACAGACTCATCTGAAGAGAGAGCTCAAACACTCTTTTAGTAATCATATGAAGCTAAAATAACAAATTTGAAGACTCAAAGTCACTAAAAAACATGATCAAGTTTTCCTGTCAAGATATTTTCCTAATTCTGAAATTATCTGCAGAAGAAGACCAAAAAACCTAAATAGAAAATCTTTGAAAAGCAGGGAACAGAGAGAAAGACCCACCAGATGAAGTGCACTAGTGCACAGCCAGGCTTTCTGTTGAATGTCCTCAAGGAATATGCCCTATGGTAGACTGATTTTTATCAACATTGTAAAATGACTGTGACTCAGTTCAGTCCCTGGTTGGATTACATTTATCAGTGCCCCGCTACTTAGCAGAGAAAATAGTAAAGCAAGATCGCACTTTCTACAGCCACTACATAATACTATTTTACATGTACACAGAGTCTCATTTGATATAAAATATTGTTATGTATGCCAAGAGATAGGGCCATATAACTGGAAAACCTACAGCAACAGACAATAGAAGCAGACCTTCATGTGTTGAATTATTCTTGGAGACTGCTAGAAAACCAACTCAGGATTCTGAACAGTGGTAAATAAAGGAAAAGAATCACCTATTTGCCTTGCCTTTTCTGTTTGAACTCTGTCTCAGAGGGACTAAACAGATGATGAGGGAAAGTTCTTCCTTAGAAGGGAAATACAGTTGACAGATACGAAAAGGATTTAAAATTGCATCACCACTTTGTAGTCTCATAAGAAAATAATTTACCTACACTCTGATAATTAATGGCTGCTAAAACCACCAGAGGAAAGACTGAAGGGTTGTTCTATAAACTAGGCACCATGCTGACAACATCTGCTATCTTTGAAAATTACCATAATAGAAAGTTAATTTAAAAATATATAAAAACCTCATACACTAGTGTAAATTGTGCAAGAACTTTGCAGAGCAATTTGGTAACATATAAGAAAGATGAATGTGCATCCTCAACAAAGCACCAATTCTAGTTCTAAGTAAATATCATGGGAAAAAAATCTCCCACATTTGTGCAAGAATGTTTATTGCAATGCTGATAAAATAGCAAAATGTAAGAAGCAACCTAAATGGCCATTAGTAGGAGAATGCATTATTTTATATAGTGCCATATTTAGTTTAAGTGAGTGAATTAAATTTAGTTTAAGTGAATGAACTAGAGTTATACCTACCAACATAATACTGTGTAAAAAGGGAAATTGTTGAATGGAAATGTAGTGTAATATCAAGTATATGAAATATAATATGCTAAACACTATTATGTATTATTTACTAACACATATGAATATACGCATTGTAAAAGCATTAAAATATGCCAAATGATAATACACACCAATTTGTCTCTTTAAATGGAGAAGATTCATATTTAGGATAACGTACAGAGGGCTTCAAACATATCCTTAATATTTTCAAAAGAAAGAAGATTTTAATAAGGCAAAGTGTTCATATTTGACCACAGTTTAGTAGTGGTAACTAAACTGAATGTTATTAAATCATTCTCTGTAGTTTCTTACTAGCTTAATAAACTTAATACTTAACAATTTTGAAATGAAACAGTATTTTACATATATATGAAAAGACTGCATATGTAAAAAGAGTTTTGATGTACATGCATGTGTTAAAAGGAAGAGAGGAAAAAATTTCCATTTACAGAGAGCCTATACACATACTCAGAGCTCCATTCTCCCTTCCTATGAACAAATGCTGAAAAACAAATATTAAAATTCAGAAAATAGGGAAAAAAATGCATTTGGCTTTGGAAAGCAATCAGAGGCACAAATTATGTTATTTATCCATAAAAACAACATAAAATAGACTGTACCCTGCTAAAATGGTCTTGGGTGGTGGCTGTCATTCTTTATGATTACTTTGGACAGCTGCTGCATTATTATTTCCATGATGAGCTTTCTATATTTTTAAGACTGACCATCTGGAATTCTACAGACCATTTTATCTCTGCTAAAAAGTAGATTAACCTCCAAACCTCCATAAACATGCAACGTCACAGACAGCTAGCCTGACTGTTTGCCTCACCTGTTCCTGACAATTCCATTCAAAGTCACTAGTACCCAAATAAGAAAGTCTGGAAGAGAGAAAACAAAGTCTAGTTTATTTTCTACTAGCAGTCATTGACATTCTTCAGTAAGGGAAGTGGCTTAAGTCAATGAGTAAAGTGAAGGGATGTTTGA